TTATCATCGTACAAAATATTGCTTTTTGTCGAAATTGGATAGAAACTATGCTTAATCAAATAAGTTGTAATTAAATTAAATTTTTTTTAAAGCATCAGAAAGAAATGATCAAAACGTAATTATCTTTCTTTTAATATTTTTTTAGAATCTGTAATAATGTTAGTGTATTTAATTTATAGTTATATTTTATATATTTTTTATATATTATTAACGATATTTAAAATAGCTTACGAAAAACCTTTAGAGATATCCATTAAATATAGTTGTAAGATTAAATTTTGTTATGTAAATATATCCTAATGATATCTACTCATGAGACTTCTATGGATATCATATAGATAAGCGAATGTACATCTTCAGTATATCCCAGTAATATCCCACGATTCTAAGAAGATAAACTCAGAAATCCCTTTAGATACATACCTAAGATTAACTTTTACTATGTGGGTAATATAGTAATGTAGAGTTGAAGCCAGTACGCCGAAGGAACAAGTTGGTAATTGGAGAGAGAAAGAGAGAGAGAGAGAGAGAGAGAGAGAGAGAGAGAGAGAGAGAGAGAGACGAAAGAAGTATTTATTACACTTAATTAAACTCTGACTCCAAAATTTGTGTCTGAACGCCTTCGTTCCATTCAACGCTCTGATGCTTTGCTCGCTCTCTCGAATAACACCATTTCGCTACTTGCTGTTTATTATCTTTTATCGATTTTAATTTAATATTATTTATCTAATATTAATTTATATATCGTATAATTTCATTCTAATAATATAATTTCATTCTAATAATTGTCTGATCATATCTTATTTAGATCGAACCTCACAGTAATATTACGCAATATATTTATTAATATTTTACTTTTTTAAATAATATCTGTATTTTATACATAATAAATAATTACAAAATAGATAACGCAAGACTTTAGTAATATGTATTAGTGATATTGAAAATTATGGATCGAGAAATACGAACAAATTTTTCTGTATATTAGATTTTATGTCAGATTATATCATTTTTAGTATACTATATAGAATAGTATACTATATAGAATAAAAATGCGTCTCTCTCGTAAGAATTCCGCTACAATCGGTGAAATCACTGATCCTGTAAGGTCGAGTCGTCAAATGCTTATTGAACTATCGTACTTTTCGCAAACGACTTTCAGAAAATTCCTCTACTTTCGAGAAGCTTGTGGGTCAGTACCGTTTTCGCGTTGGATAAAACGCTGTTACCTTCGAGAGATTTGTTGTCGAGATTCAACTAGGACGATGACTTATTCGGACTCGCTGGACTTTAGCGCACTCTGCGGAAAGTTTTCGTGAATGGCGCCAGACTCACGAGTTCTAGTACTTTCATTGTTTCTGCACTTGATTCTGTTGAAATCGGTGCTGAAAGAGTTAACGATGATTTGTGTTCAAATAATGAAGAAAATATCTTTATAATATGTTTTTCAATCATTTTATATGTGTAACTGATATTATAAAAATTGTATGTCAAGTTCATTGCATCGACATATTTTGTTAATACCAACTGTTATATTTTAACATTAATAATAAGTAGATCATTTTAATCAAACATTCTTTTGCAAATATGTATTTATAAAAGAATATTTGATTAAATAATAATATATGTATTCTGTATATATAACAATTGAAAAATTAAGGAAAGATAGTACAACTTTTTAATTGGTTTGAACAGTTTTGAAATTAAAAGATGAAAATTTTCTTTTCGTTTTGTATTTTTTATATTTTCTATTACATATTTAGTGACTACACGCAAAGAATAATTTCGCTGAAATCGTTTAAAAATTTAGTTACATGTATATTTGAAAATAATGTTGGACCATCAAAATAATAATTATGTAGAACACTCAAACCGATAAAAAGTAAAACTTCTTGCAACATTGCTCATCATGTTTGAATTTTCTATCCAATTATTTTGATGATTTGATTTATTTTTAGATCTATACAATATGTAGCTAAATTTAGATTCTTCAAAATCGTTCTATCATATATAAATGTAAGTTCTGTTGACTGTTGTTTGTTGTATCTATAAAGTTTGAGCTAAATAGATAAATTAGATAAATCATATCAGAAATATGATGCTCTTACGAAGCGTGACTGTCCTGAAATACGTTATTCGTGGAGAGTCGCGCGAACTTTGGGATATGATGTTGAGTTAGGCCGTGTAAATAGTAGAGGAACCAAGCGTGCTGGAGAGATCCCTCGAAAGAACAATACCTCTTTGTCGGTTCGCAAACGGGACTGTTTCGCTCTGGCAAACAAGTGATGGTTGCTTAGCTATGCAATAACGATACTATCCTACCGCCTGCATTGTTATTTCGGACGAGAACTAGACGCACACTTCGCTTACAGATCTGCTTATATCTGCCAGTTATTTACGCCTAACGTGTTTCAAATATGTCTCTATATTATTACATGAATAATTCTCGATCGATAACTCGTAATAATTTCAATTGTACATCTAGTCGTATCATATTATTATGATACATTACAATTACATGCTCTATTGGCATTTATTTTTAAATTATACATACTTTCACATCCAATTTAAATGTTTTTCTATTATATTTCTTCTACAAATTTTATTGATTTGATTAATTTTGTCGTTGTAATAGACTATTACCATCATTCTTCTCTAAACAGTTAGTTAGAAAAGTTTTCACACAAAGGAATAGCGAATCCAGCGTTCCATCAACTCAAGTATGACGTAAAATTTCTCGTTGTTGAAATACAATGCTTTATTTTACTTTTCGACGAACAAATTTTGCTTCCGAAACTCATTTCAGAAGCTTGCGGCGCTAGAATATAACGGCTATTCCTGCAGAAACTTTCAGAGGGCTTGTCTCGATGAAAATATTGTATAATTAAATATATAAATTTACTCGTATTTACTGTATTTATCGGCTCGACAATTCCTTTATAACAATTATCAATTTCTCTTTATAATATAATTTCGAAATAAAATACATCATATATGCGAACGAGCACAATATCAATCGCAACGAATTTTTAATTGCTATATTGAATAATGCTCTGTTATAACGCATTTCATTATTTTGTGGACCTTTGATTGTTGATATTATTCATCGATCTGTTATTATTTATACCTGTCAAATGACGTAATAAAGTTATAAAATATGCAGAAATGTTCGCCTTGCAAATTCCGATCTGAAATAATCTTGTTTATGTCTTTCTCGAAAGCTATTTATTATTAAATAAAGAAGATCAAAAGGAGAATCACGCAGTAATAATTTTATATACTTACACACACACACACACATACACACACACACACACACACACACACACACACACACACACACACACACATACACACACATGCGCGCGCGCGCATGCACACATATCGCTTCTTTGCTTTAAACGTGTCACAATTAAAAAAATGAAGTTTTGTAGAAAAAGGAAAAATTATTTTCAATTTAACAGAGAATTATCGGCTACTCAAATCATATCGAAGTGTATTTTTAACATGATTAAATATCATTTTTGTCTTTTTCATTTCATAATTCTTAAAAAATCCTTTTCTGTAATAATTTTGATGATTAAAAAAAAATCACGCTTTTTAAATTATGAAGATTTTGACGATTTTTTAATGAAATTATGTTAGTTTTTTTTTTTATATTTGATTGAGTAATGTTTTTTTAACTCGTTTTATGGCAATAAACTAAAAATTAATTTTTTTTATATTACTTTTGAAGTTACCACTAAGAAAAATTTTTCTTAAAGATAAATGAATCAAAAGATTCTAATCATAACAATCAAAGAATTTTTATTATATATCTTAACTAGAATTATAATAGATTGAATTGGAAAATTCTAATTTTCCATTATACAATTATGTTTGAATTTTGTTTAAATTTTTACAACTAATTATTAATATTATGTAGTTATTTTAGGTATACAGTTAATTTTATTTTATTTAATTTTTTCAAAAAATCAATATTAAAAAGATTATCACATTTTTTATATTATGTATTCATAACTATAATTTAGGATGTAAAAAAATATTTCAATTTTATTATCGATGCTTGTGTATTACGCAATACAATCCAGTGGAGCCGCAACATCATTGATTGTTATACTTATCAGTCAAATGTTATACCATATGACACACGTATATAATATTGCGCGATAACCTCGGACAATGTTTCAAAATCTTACGCTGCTTGGATTACGGAAGTTTAATTTGAAAGACACGTAACTAGTGTCGCTTAGTCGATCGTCAAAGCACTAATGTTATAATTTATGACAACGGCTATGTAAGACTGTACGTCCATTGAATATTTCTGCTGCTTTTAGCAGTTTGACGCGCATATTGTCGGACACTTACTTATACAATAAATGTCAAATATTTCTTGTGCCGTTGCGCCCACGAATGCACCCACGACCACTGCGCTGCTTTACTCGATGGCAGCGTCTTCACAAGGCAATCACGTCGCCGTGTCGTTGTGCAAGTCACTGCAGTGAAGCGTTTCACGTCTTATCTAATCTCTAAGAACGCTGGTCGGTGTCTGCTTCATCGCTTTGGCCTGGTAGTGAGAAAATATTGACGAACATTCTTTTGCTCTTAACATACTGTTAGACATTTTAGGACCACTATCTGGTCTTGCTTTGGCAATTTACAATTTACGTATGTACATAGAAATATTAATTAGGTTGAATTCTCGTTTTTTCCGATTTGATTTATTCTCAAATCGGCGGAATTCTCTCTGTTAGCTCTTTATCTTTTTTTAAAAAATTCTTTTTAATTTTTAATTTTTTGTAGATATTTAGGAAATAAAATCTCAACATACACAATTTTCATACACTATTAATGAAAATATATTTCTTATTTTTAATGATCTCAATTTAATTGAGATAAACGAAAGTTATATATACTTTGCGATTTTCAAACAGACGACTTCAACGACGTTTGATTAAAATAAGAAAATAGTATTCTTAACTGATGAACATTCTTTGCAGATGACGATTGACATGGCGACGTCGTAAAATCGACGCAACTCCACATTTCTTCATGGATCATAAGTGATATCGCGGAAGAGAAATGATCATTATTGTGGGACTCCGTGAGAAACGTGTTCCTTAACGCGATCCACTTATCTAAAACAAACCAAGCGTCGTCATGACGCGTTTGGATCGCGCATGAACAATTACATGCCACAAAAACCACGTCGACGATCAGGGATAAGCTGGTATTCGAACCACGTGTCCAAAGTCTAATAGTGTCTGACATAGGTGGAGAGATTCGGGTGCATCTTAATAAAAAAGAAAAAAAACGCAACACGCGAACAACATAAGCAAAAAGATTGCAAATGTGAGGTTCGTTATCGACGTGGCAGAAAAATACACGAGTGCTGTAAAAAAGAGGCACGCGAGGGATGCGTTCCACAGACAAAGGGTGGGGTCTTTGGTTACCGATAAGGCTTATCCGGAGATACGATGGTCGGCAACTGCGCTCGTCGAGTCGTCAGTCGTAGTACTCAGGTGCCGTCGACGAGATCGTCACGCCACTCAAGTCGCAGTAATTTCGTGATTCGTGCATCATTCTGCAGCTCCAAGGAGGTATCTTGAAAGTGTTGTTTCCGGGCCAAGTGTCCAGTGATATCACGTGAGTCCAAAAGATACAGGAAGTCGATTACAGTAGAAGAAAAAGGAGGGAAACGCGCTATAAAGTCGCAACGACGAGCAAGAACGATAACGGGCAATCATTGCCGCAAGAGCGATTAATCGTTGTTTTCCAGGGTACTTCGAGTTTTTAATTTGACGCTTTAGCACGTTAAGTGGGCAGCGACAAAGAATGTCGACGTACAATGAAGGCGCGGAAGAGTATGAGCGAAAAGAAGTGAGGAGAAAGTTGAGTAGAGGACTGGAGAGGCAAAAATGTGTACAGGATAAAAGGCTTAGGTGTAGCATATCAAGATACGGTTTCTCTGTCCTCCGCTTTCCTTCCATCCTCATTTTTTTTCTTTTCTCTTCACTTTTTCGCTGTCGTTTATGGCGCAAGCTGCGAACGGTGCCCCGTTTCGCCTCTATTCTCCCTATCTTCTCCACCCACCGCATCATGCTCTTTGTACAGCTTCCGTCTCATGTGTTAAATTATGTGTGATCTCTTTGACATTCGACAACCGCTGTAGTTCCGGTAATTATATCCCTCGTCACCACGAATTTACTACTCCACCTCGTGCTCCCTTCAAACTAACGTATTTCTACGCCCTCATCTTTTTGCCCTCGACGGACCTTCAAATGTAATCCGCAAGAAGCTAAAATCTCTTCACCGTGAGTTCTTACACCCGTCGCGTCGACTCGACTTTTCTTCTTTCCGCGTTGCGTAGTGGCAGGTTCGCAAGTACCTATTCAATTCTCTCTTTTATAAGAACAGACCTAGTAAAACGGACGCGAACCTTTACTTTGAATTACTTTAACTCTGAATCTTTTTTCAGTTCGCTTATACAACGGTAAATTTTTTTTATCTCACAATTAATGATTAATACCATACAAACGCTCTCATCAAATCGTTTGCAATGTTGAATTTAAAACGATTAATATATTGAGAAAAGTTGTGAAATTATATTATGTGTAACGACTCTCCTTTCGTATTTCTGCATGATTTTGCTTGCTAGAAATTAAAAGATCAATTTTAATTAAATTTTAATTAAATTTTAGCTACAAAATAGCAAATATAGTGCTCCAATTAAATAAAAAATTGGGTTATTTATTTTTGATAAAATCCTACAAAGCCGCAAACAGTCTTTTTTAATAATAAATCAAGATACAGTCAATAAGTATACAAGTAATAAATAAAGTATAATTTTTATTTTCTTTTTTAAATTAAATTTGAGATCTTTCTTCTTAATTATATTAATCTTTACCGTACGAGATACAATTTAGTACTTCATCCATACAAACGGGGATCACTAAATCCATCCATTTTTTCATCTATTCAGAATGCTTAAAAAAATTTCAAAATGCTTAAAAAATTCACAAACATTTTGAAGTTTTTAGAATAAATATTGGAACTTCATTTTGGGAAATAATTAAATGTAGTATAATTTATAATTACCGAAAGACTCAAAGAAACTTGCACGAACAGGAATCGCTCGGTCACTAGTGACCCATACTTGTAAAGTAAGAATTATAGTTATGAGTATCATTTATAAATGGAGTAGTCAAAGTAACTATACGATATAACGATACGATATATAGTTTGTGCAAAATCTAAAAAACACGCTCCTGATATTTGACACATTTAAATATTTTAAATCCTATTCATCTTTCCGCTTTATAGTTTTCCCGCTTTAATTTTGCCAAAGTTGAAGACGTTTCCGTCCATAGAGTTTCGTTCTATATTGCAACGGGAAAGCAAATGCTCCTTCGTGCCAAGTCGGAAACTAATTCGAATTCTCAGGCGACGGATTTTGCCGTCGTATCGTTCCGCTGAAGCTCCATCAGTTTCTTCCTATTGCGCGTATCTTCCACGTTCTTCGTTCTTCCGCGCGCCGGGCTTTTAAGGACTTGACCTGCTGTGAGACATGCGCGAAACAAAAGGGAGTTCGTGGACCAGTAATTTGGGACTCGGGAGTTACGCAGATGGGAAAGGCGAGACGACCACGAAGGCGAGAAAGTGAGAGATAGAAAGAGGAGAAAGACGAAAACTGGGCGGTGAACGAAATCAGCCTCCTCTTCCATCCTCGCTTGCGCATCGCACATGACTCGAGTTTCTAATTAAACTTAAACTTTTAATTGACTCGTTGTAAAGCAGTTTACAACGCACGCGCCCGCTTAGCCAGTTTTTCTCTACGATGTCGTCTCGGTGTTCTCCAGTTCGACGTTTGTCTCCGCGTTTCCCTCGTCTTTACCACGTTTTACTGCATGAATGAATCACAGTGCCGAAGTTTGCTATTGATAATATGCCAAGATCTTATTAAGAAAAGTAGCTGAACATATTATATTCATTAATAGAAGTTTTTACATGTTTGTTATGAATATTATATTCATTAACAGACGTGTTGCATTATTCTAATAAGTGTTGTATGAATTATATTATTTCTAATTTATATATGTCATATTCAGTAGTTTAATAAAATAAAATTTCAATTGAATTTTGGTTAATGAATAAAGGAAAGTATATTGCTTCTTTTTTTTTTAGTATATCTTTTATTTTAAATATAGTATATTTTTATTTTAAAATATTTGTATATAATTATAAAATAAATTTTTTATACCTACATAATTGATTAAATTTGGTTAGATTAAATTAAAAAGCAGATATTATGGGAATAAAGATGGATCATGAATTTTTTGATGATTTGTATCAAAAATAATATTATATATTCCATTAAAAATTAATTTTAATTCGATCTCTAAATACGAGGCTTTAAAAATAATGCGGAGAATTAAAATACATTAAGTAGAAACAAAAATAAATGCATGATATGATTTAATTATATTTTTAATTATTATCGTAACAATTAGTCCGTATTAGTAACATTGCACATTATATTGTGTCAGTCGGGAAGAATCTTAAATTGAAAGCAAACTTACGGTATAAAATCGTTGATTAAATTTAATGACGCATACTTCGATAATATTATCACATATAATTATGTGAATGTAGATATGATTCTTATCAGTCATCGATACTTGTTCACAGGGTTTCGTATTCGCACCCACAGCTGGATCGTATTGCAACGGATCTCAAAAGACGCTCCAATATCCGTCTGGATTCTAAAGTATACGAAACGAAAGGTCGGATATCGATCGCTATCAATCACTGCTGGAACGAATTGAACAAGACTTCAACGGGACTAGTCTTTCCGCGTGCTTTCGTGTTGTTGGTGTGCTTAATCCACGTGATGAGTGTGTGCTCTTCGTGCTAAGATTTCAATTCGTTTCTGAGCGCGAACGTGATTCGTGAATCGAGAGTGTCCTGTGTTGTTCGTAGTTCGCCCGAGACCCTAGAAGTAGCTTGTTCGTGCACGTACTGTAGAGTTTGAGGGTTGACGCCTTCAAACCGCAAGCGTACAATAATCCTGTCTTCCTCAAGGATAAACGAAACCGAGCGAAGGAGGCACCGACATCCGGTCGCCAAACGGACTCCTATGAAAATGCTACAGTCGCTAAACGCTCTGGCGGGTAAAATCTCGCCGGGCTCTCCTACCGACAGCAACGCCAACAAGGTGCACATGCATAATAACAACAATAATAACAACAACGTGCATCACCATCCCTACTCCAAACAGCAGACCCAGCCGTCCCCATCACATTCTGCCAACGGCGACCAAAAGGAAAATACGTGAGTTTTTTTCTATTATTTTTATATTGCAAATTGTCAAAAAAAAAATTACAAAAAGGATTTTGTGTATTGTTTATTTTAAATACAATCGTGTTTTTAGAATAAGAGAGATAACTTATTTTTAGATAGTCAATAATATTTTGTTCGTTTTATTATTAAATTTTGGTAAATACTGTAAATAGTAATAATGTGTGATTACACATATAGTACATAACAATTACATGTTGATAATTTTTGAGATCTTTTTTATTTTTTTCAAACATTTTTGACAGTTGAGGAATAAATTATTATTGGGCAAATCATTGTTTTCCAGTAAGTATTGGAATATTATATAACAATAAAGGTAACGTTAGATTTTTTTACTACTGAACTAAATTGTTAATTGCAATAACAAAACTTTGATGCTTATTTGTACATTGTTGAATAATTACTGATAACTAATATCAGACTAATATCAGAAAGTAGGTCGTCCACATGTTGCAATTTCACACTAATAACAGGCTAGGGAAATTTCTACATTATCCTAGATCGGCAAATCTCATAGCCCATCGACAATCTGTTAAAATGTTTTGTTTATGCTAATATAGCTTACTCGTATCACAGAACTCCGTATTACGTCTCATTTCAATTAAGCATATTCAAGAGGTTGTTGCAACAATGTTAACATTAACGTAACACATATAACTGAAGTTTCTTGCTTTATACCAATGACATAACACAGCATAGCGTAGCACTGGCACTATTGTAATATTCACAATTGTTACTTAACGAGAAACAATTCTGCTATTGAAGAATTTGAGCTACGTCACTAATTTAAATTACATTTGATTCTAGTATAACTGTGAATGAACTAATTTTTGGATAAAACTTAGTCTAAATACTAAATTAAAAATACTTTTATGTCTTAAATTGTCACGATACATTGAAGGATTTTCCATAAGAATCAAATAATCTATTTTTTTTTTAATCTGGATTATGACGTTAAATTATTCTCTATTAGTAACGTTACATACTCGGTCACATAGTGAACAATTTTGTTTCAGCAAGAATCAAATGTTTCAGCAAAAGAAAACGGGAAAATAAAAGTTCAATATTTGCAAAGGATTTGTTTTTGTTAAGAGTTTATAAAATTTTTCAAATAAATATTAAAAAAATTTTTGTTGCTTTGTACAGAAATTTTTGTTATATTTTATCGAAAATTTTATCGTGTTTGAAACAATTTGATTCTAAATATTGATAATGATAGGAATGTTTAATATATGCAAAAGACGTTTTATAAATAATACAATAAAAAAATTGTATGTTGCTCTGATACAAAATATTTATAAAGCATTTTAAAATTTACAAATTACATTTTAATATTATAATAAGATTAATTGCTATTATATATTTTTGCACATACAACTTCCAGGAATTAGAGATTATTAATAAAATCAGAGAGAATTACATAAAATTTTTCGAACTGTTGTTCTAATTATTGTGATTTTCAGAGTAAATTCTAAGCGAAAATTCTCTCCGTGTACTTTAAATAATACTATTTTATTATTTTATCATTATTAAAAATATTATAAAAAATAAATGTAAAATTTAATGTAATTTAATTATAAAATAAATGTATAATTAAATGTAAATAGATAACAAATATAAAATATCTGTCAAACAAGTCTAAGGATTTTTTAAATGGATTCTTAAAATATTAATTAAAGTCTAAAACTTCGTTTTTTATACTTCTTACATGTTTGGAGAAAAATTATCATAGTATACAACGAACAGTTTAAACATGAGAAGATTTTCTTCTGTAAATTTAACCTTTTGGACTTGTTTGGTTTTTGTGAAAAACCACTTTAATTAATTTGGTTAATTAATTTATGATAACGTTTATATAATAATTGTATCATTCTAAAGAAAACTTTCGCATTATATCTTATGTTTTATCATTTTTTATTCATCAATTATCATTTTTATTCATAAAAGATTGAAAGAATGTTGTTCCTGCCGTTACAATTGCGAAAATTCTTTTATTTTCGCTGAGAAGATACTGTGGCATTTTGAGTAATCGTTAATTTTAAACTTCTATTTTTCTCTCTGTTTTAATTCGTGACGAACGACTGGAAAATGTAATTTAATGCTTATCCTGTACCGTTTGTTGTTCACTTCTTTTTTCCATAATTTCATTGCTCGTGAAAACTGAGAATGAGATACTTCTTGACATAGAAAAAAAACGTGTTATAAGAATATCGGATACAAGACTTCCTTCGTAACGAAAAATCAAACGGAGGAGAAAAGGAAGCATATAATATTAGAGGCACAATATATAAGAAACATTACGCTTTGAAGCGTGCGCCCTTCCTTCCTGTCGAGTCAAGAATCCTTCGGAACATCTTGATCAACAAAGACAAGATTTCGTTAAAATAAACAACGTAGAGATCCAAATTCTACTAACTGCATCTCAACGGCTTTCAAGAAAGCGCTCGAAAATGCGACCTGCTTATGTCATCATAGATAACCCGTAACTTTTTCATAAGCACGGCTTTAAAAAGTCTGTTTACGAGAACAAAGAGGCTTCTAGAACAAGGGTTCATGTTTCTACTCTATGTTCCTTTTTAATGGAAAAAGTATTTATGCGCAGAAAATGTCGCGACGTTCTTCATCATCGTATTTCGTATTTAAAAGTATTTCCTTTAGCGCGTGAACTCTGGTATTCTTTTAAGAATCATAAAAGAGATTGAGATTGAGAGAGAGAGAGAGAGAGAGAGAGAGAGAGCGAGAGAGAGAGAGAGAGAGAGAGAGAGAGAGAGAGAGAGTTGATAT